AAAAAAAAAAAAAAAAACTCTTGGAGTATTATGTCCCATCGTTTGCTCGTTTGGTTACCCTAAGAAGTCGCAAAGTGAAAAAAAAAAAAAAAACAAGGTTAAAATACAAAGCTGCTTTTTGGTATTTTACTGCTAATCAAAAAATAAGCAAAAAACTTAGCTGAAATCATTTTAAAAATTAATATTTGGCATAAAAAAAAGTGAAATCACTGCGAATGGTTATACCAAACAATAAATGCTGTCTGAAATAATTAACCTCTGTTGTCAGTTAAGCAGATAAGCCGACGACAATGCTTTTGAGTGAAAATATACCAAAATTCTTCTATAAGGTTGAAATACTGATGAAAATTTTAGGATAACTTTAACTGTTCAGTTTTATATAACAGCAATTAAATGTATTGACTAAACAGTAAATTTTCAGCATATCATTAAGGTAAAACTTTTTTCCTAATAGCGTCGAACATATTTTCGTGCTTACTTCAAAAAGAATTTGGAAATCAAAGAAATGCATTGAAACTGTTTTCTGTTGATAATGTTATTTTACATAACAGATAACAATTTTTCTTTTTTTTTTTTCTTTTTTTCTTTGCACGTGATTTAGTTAGATAAGCTTATATGTTTTGGTAAAGTAATAGCATAAGGATTAATGCAAAAACAGTAATAAAGCCTAAAAAATTGTAATATTGTTGTATCAGCTTCCTTTTTTGTCACATAGAAAAATTTTATTCCATGGGTCAGTAGCTAAATTTCTGTATTTGGAACACCGACCAAATGCAGCAAAATATTTTCACTATAAAATTCGCCTGCGGAGGTTGTAACTGATCAGTTTTAAGTTGTATCTGCAACAATACAAATCTGAGAAACTGCTAAGAATGAGATTTGTACGTTTAGTATGGCCAAAAACTGAAAGCTGAAACTTCGCCAAAGCTCTGCTTTTTCACCATGGGGGTTTACAAATGAAAAGTAGCATACCGTATTTTGCCGTTGATATCTGAACGGTTCACCAGTATTTTCACTATACTTGTTCTATTCTTTTTTGAAGGTCTCGTGTAACAAATGATCAATGACGTTAAGTTGAAATATTCTCAAAACCAAGGCCCATTCTTCACCTGTCCGTTACAATTACCTGTTTATTTGTTTTATCAGTAGATATTTCTTTCAGTATTTCTGAACTTGAACACAAACTACAGAAACATCCAGAAAAAAATTGCTGGACTGAAGTTTTTTTCAAAATGGTTAAAACAGAGTTTCAGTTATGATTCTTTGAGAAAGAACACTGCTGCAGCTAAATATTGAAAAAGTGAACCGATAATGTAACTTGAAAACTTTAATTACAATTGTAATTACCACACAATATCAAGTTGTTTTTTTAATTTTCAAAAAATTAGAAAAGTTTGTAGTTTCCCGTCGCATGATCAGGGCTTTAACCTGTCAAGTAATCGTTACTCAAGCAAAAATTTTGTTGAAAATTTCCTTGAGCTGCTGTCGTCCCAACGCGATTTATACACAGAAACGAGCTTGAGTTTTAAAAATTTTTATTGGATTTTTTCCAAAAAATTGGGGTCTAGCCAAATAGTATGGCTTAAATTTTCGGTTATGATGGATGAAGCCGAAAAGGTTGATGTTTTGAAATTGACCGCAGAAGACCTTACTCCAAAAGGAGGTTTGAAGGAGCGAAAATGGAATTGGAAAAACAGAGCTAAACGATCTTTCCCTAGGTGATTTCTTTTAAATAGTAAGACGTAGGAGGAATTCGAAGACCGCTTTTGGTTCTCACGTGTTTCTACTCATGTTATGCTTTGTTTAAGTTCATGTAACATTTCAAAAGTCACTTATAATACAGGAAACGACGTACTGTCGTGTCGGAGCCAGAAGAAGGTTCTAAGAAACCACTAGTGTCAGAAGAGTTGCTTAAAAAACATGATACTGGGGCGTCTGAAATTAATCCGGTATACTTCATTTTTTTGGATCTTGACATTTTTCTACGTGTAACTTTTATTCTAAATTTGTTGGAGAATTAAATTCGACTCTTTTGATGTTTAATTGGTGCTGCATTGCTTATAAACATCTGATTATTTAAGAAAAGAGTCAAAACGAAATTTCATCAAATCAAGCTTTTGAAGAGGAAAGAAAAGTTTTTGGCCAGGACAGAGCAGACTGCCCGGGCAGAGATTTTGAATCAGGAGGATGAAGGGTAATGTTTTCTCTTTTAAAATGATACTCTATTTCGCTGCAGAGTTTTAAATGTAGTGGCAAATCTTTTTGAATTAGAAAAGTTTTGTTTTCTTCCTCGTGTTTTTTAATCATAGTTGTTTTTGTAGCGCAGGTTGCTGTACCTCATCAAGTTTTTTTCTATATCTTGATTCAACCCAATCACTTTTAAGATTTTTAATCGGGGACAGAGGAGAATTAACTTACAACATCCGTCAGAATGAAATAGCTGCCGCTGTAGACGTAGCAAGCTCGACAAAGGTACTTCATGTATACTGAACTTTTTATGTTAAAAACCGGATGTAGATTATTCTTCGGAAGTTTATTAATCTTTTTCCCTAGCAACAGAGTACTTCAGTGCTTTGACCTTGCTCTCGATCGTTTTGGTCCATACCGCATTGACTACTCGAATAACGGCAGATATTTGTTAGTCGGTGGTAAGAAAGGACATGTAGCAGCTTTTGATTGGATGACTAAAAAGCTACTATTTGAAACTAACGTTATGGAAGCAGTCAGAGACGTGCAGTTCGTTTTATATTGTGCGACATATTTTGATCACTTCCTTTATTGATTTTTTCTTTATTTTACAGTTTTTTTAATAGGTGGCTTCATGTAGAGACAATGTTTGCCGTTGCTCAGAAGAGATGGACATATATTTACGACAACATGGGTGTTGAATTACACTGCCTAAAAATGCTCCATGATATTAGGAGAATGGAGTTTCTTCCGAGGCATTTTTTGTTGGTGGCCGGTGTGAGTGTTGGCTTTCAAAATTTTGACTAGTTATAAGAAATAAGAAATTCTTAAAAACTTTTAATTTGATGTATAACTTTTTGGGTGATGTAAATCCAGGAAACAAAATTTGATATTTTGAAGCGTACAGATGCCGCTGCAATTTTTTAACGTTTATTATGTTTAGGCGAACACGTCTTTCCTTCACTATATTGATGTCTCATTAGGTAAGATTGTACAGTCATTTTGCACGCGGCAGGGTGCACTTGACGTTATGGCACAGAATCCAAGTAATGCGGTTATCCACACGGGCCATAGTAATGGTAAATTTTATCTTTGGAAGACAGTCATTTTTAGTTAAACGAGCTAACTGATGCCATTGCAAGTCACTGTTACAAGTACACTTTCATAAGATTATAAGGGTGTTTCATAATATTTTCTGGTCTTTGCACGTTTTATCTTCTACTTATTTCTCGTTTTCTTCAAATTTAGGCACAGTTCAGCTTTGGTCACCTAATGTTCAAGAACCCCTTATCAAAATGCTAACACACATTGGAGCAGTTCGTGGGATTTCAATAGAGGGGAATTATATGGCAACTACTGGTTTGGATCAGAGATTAAGGTCGGTTTTTTTTGCTTATTCACATACAACTTTTGTTTGGAAAAATTTTATATTATATATTATTGGAGTGGTATACTCTCGGCAGAGGACTTTTTAAATACGCTTTTTCAAATATTATTTTTTTGTGCGGTTTCATTATGATTTTATAAGACAAGGTTTTGACAAGTTTAGAGTGTGGGATGTGCGGACCTACAAACAATTATTTGGGTATCATTTACCGTTTGGATTGTCTGAAGTAGCTTTCAGTCAGCGAAATGTTATTGCATGTGCTATTGGTAACACAGTGCAGGTAAAGGATTTACTTTTCCACAACTTTTGCAATTGTTTTAATGAATGACAGATGTAGTTTTTCCTTTGTTTAGACTTTTAAAAATGCACATATTGGTAATTTGGAAAGTCCTTACTTAGTTCATGACTGTGGAGGTTTAATCGCAGATCTTGAATTTTGCCCATATGAAGACGTTCTTGGAATAGGACATCAGAATGGTATTGCCAGTATTCTTGTCCCAGGTATTACTTCATACTTCTTTTGCTAGAAGTGGATGAACTTTTTGATGCACTATTAACTTTATGCATTTTTCCTTTTTATTTGTTTTTTTCTAATTGGTGAACTGCCGTCCTCTGAAGCAATTATACTGTTGCCAAAAAAAAGGAAGAAGAAGCGTCTGTTTTGTTGTTGTTTCAAAAGGATTGGGGAGTGGGGGCATTTTAAGTGCAGATGCGATTAATTGCAAAAGAAATTCGGCGTTAACTCAGTTTTTAAACTGGAAGTTTCAATTCATTGCTTAAGAAAGAGTTGGCATTTAGAAATAGCAGGTTGAATTCTTTAAGGCCTTGTAAAGTGCAGAAGAGATTTGGTGTAGATATTAGGTTGAATGGATAATTGAGCCGTAGGTAGCTTTGTACATCTCTGGTAGAGGAATTCTTGAAGCATTTACTTTGGGTACATCTCAGTAAGAGCTGCAATTTGTAAATAAGATTTTGAAGATAAAGTAAAGTAACTTTTTCTTTAATTGTTTTTTAAGTTGACGTTAATGATGCCTGTTTTCTTTGTAATAAGCAAATGAAGCGTGGTCTGTAAGGAACAGTGCAAAGCCTTTTCAAAAACACACAAGAGTTTAAGTATTTCCGGCTTCAGTTCCCCAAAGATTTGTTTCAAACATTAGAAAACTTTTAAAATTTCGAATGATAACTTTTCTTCTTATCTCCTCATCGTCTGACATTTTAATTATTTTGTTTTATATTTCTATTAATTGGTTTGGCTGAGAGATTTAAACGCTTACAAATCATTGGGGGTTTTAAATTTAAATGTCCTTGTGCTTCGAAGCTTTTAGTGATATAAAATTATGAACTTAAAGCAATTGTGGAACCAGAGGTTAAGAACTTCTTGTTTACAGTTCAAGTCTTTCTAGTCTTCTGTAATAGAAATTTATATGCTTTTTAGATTGATACTTTTTTCAAAGCTTTTTGGTGAGAGTTCTTCTTTTTTGCGTAAGTTAACGGCGATAAATGGATCTTATTTGCGAAAGTGCTATATTTTTGTTTCTGGCATTATTACATTGTTTTTTATTTTCAACATTGAACTTGTTTCGTCTTCTTCAAGGTTCTGGTGAAGCAAACGTTGATACTCTTCATGCAAATCCATATGAATCAAAATCTCAGCGTCGTGAGAGGGAAGTGAAGCAGCTGTTGGATAAGGTAAGGAGATTTCTACATTTCATGATTTTTGCTTTAAATATTTTTAAATTTTTTGCATGCTGATCATTTTGCACTCACACTTAACGTTTGAGATTCAACCGGAACTTATAACTTTGGACACCTCCGAAATCAGCAAGGTCAATACGGACGTTATGCAGGAAGAAAATGAGAGATTGAAAAAAGTTCTTTACCTCCGTCCTCGTGATGTAAAGTTCACTCCAAGAAATAAAAGAAAGGGTCTCAGCAAAGTAAAATTTAGTTGTATTTTGAGTAGGCCCTTAATACTTGCTGAATTTTTCAAGGATAGTTAGTTGCTGTCCTTGTAAACGTTTTTCACTTGACATATTTTTTCATTTTTTATTGGTTGTGCCTTTTGTGACAGTAAAATTTTTAGGATAAGCGAAAGCAGATTGTAAATGCTGAGATGAGGTTTGCAAGGAACGAAGAAATCAAAGAAGCAGAAAAGCAGCTACTTCCTGTTCCAGAAAAAGAGAAAGAAAAGATTGTCAAGTCAGTCTTGGATAGGTTCAAGAGAAAGGACAAATGAATTTTTTGTACCTGTAATCCTTTTTGTAATACCAAGTCTACAAGGATGCTCAACTGCTTTACCCCTTGGTTTAATGCTTCCTTCCAGAGATGTTGTCCGATCAGAGGCGTAGTTTAAAAATAGTTTTTTTGAGAAATTTTTAATTTCTGATGGCTGCTTTATGAAGCGTTTCAATTGCTGGCTAAAATGCAGTTTATTGATCTGTTTCAGTTGGAAGTCACAAAAATTTGCGAATGCCAGATCTGATCGGTTGTAACTTTTAGCATCTATTGGTTTTTTTACATTAATAAGGTTCTTATTTATTTGAAGTATTTTTGTTGAGTATGAATTTCCTAACTTTTTTTTCTTGAAAAGGTTAATAATTGATGTCTATCACTTCTAATTTTTAGGGGGAAAGTTTGAGGTTTGTATGTGCATAAGAGACGCTGTTTTGTTGTCATTTTTTGATGTTGTTGGAACTTGTATTATTTGTTTTTTTCAATGTTTTTTATAGTTGTTATGGGTTCACTTTCTTTGTGGCCGGAAAAAATTTATTGTTTTCTTTATTATATAAGGCAGAGCAACTTTAAAACTTATTGACATTGTGGTCAGGAGGACGTTCTGTTTTTGACTAGAATTTGACAGACAATTTTTAGTTCAAGTATTGGATTTCTAAGCAAAGTCTGGTTAAACAGTTGCACTAGACTATTGAAAACTGACAGGAAGGCTATAATATTGCAATTTATATAATGGTTCAAAAAATGAGAAGTTACCAGTTATTTTGAAGCTGAGAACGAAGAGTGAGGATCGGAGAACTAAGAGGTGCCAGTGTAAGGTAGGGAAGAATTAGAACGAAAGGTAAGCGTTGGGGTCTACGAAACCAGGAAAGGCTTTATAGGTTGATTGGGGAGAAACGTGTGCATAAATATTTGCATTGCCTTCATTTTAATTGTATTGAAGGGGAATTCTATGGTTTGACAAGAACAGCTCACCGATGGTTCAAGCTTAGAAATAGTAGTTCGTGGGTCGGCTGTTTGTGGAAGAATAACTGAAAAAAATTAAGCAACTCTACTTAAACTTTTAAAGTCACAGTAGTCAGCGTTATTTTTATTTATTTATTTATTTTTTTTTTTTTTGGTGCTATTTATTAGATTCGTACCCTGTGTGCGAAGAAATTATGATGCTTTAAAAGGATCGAAATTTCTTGTGCTAAATTTCACTACGTAATTTGCAAATCTTAGTGTTTGTTTAATGAAATGGTGCAAGGTATGTTTACTTCAGTTTCATGTTCTGTGATATCACTTATGATGATATTATTTTAGGTAACTCATTCCGAGCAATGCTATGTCTAATTCATTCTTTCTTTTCGTGATTTCTGCAGTTTCAAAAGTAAGCAGTGTGATTACTGCAGCTCTGCATAACTGTTATTGGCTCTTATATTAGTTACACAACTGCAGTTTTTAAAACAAAAAGTCAGAAGGGTTTTTATTGCAATTAATTAACTTAAAGTCTCAGAATAAGTGACAGTTAATAGTGGAAAATCTTGGAGGGTAAGGTGCATACAGCAAGTTTTGTATCCTGGTTACTCTTTTTTTTTACGTTATTTGAAACATGCGCATTGGCATTATCCGTAGAACAGAGCAACTTCTCCGTCTCCAAAAGCAGATGTTTTATCAAACCTTTCTTTACATTTTTTGACTCATTCTAAATGGTACTTTTCCTTAGTAAAGTCTCATGCTAGTTCCTCATTTAGGAACTTAGTTATTCTGTGGTTTCAGGAAGAAAGCGCATACAGCTTTTGAGTTATATCTGGCAAAATTTGTGAAATGATTAAAGCACAAGATGCTGGTTGTAACAGTTGGTGAGCTCAACCATTAACCATGTGATGCCACCTTGTATCTGACAAACTCAATTTGCTTAGAAGCCTAAAACTTCCCCTGATATCTGTTACTCTCGCCGATTTTTCTTAAAAATTTACTCGAAAAAAGTTCTTTTAGGCAGAAAACTAGCTTTCTTATATCAGATACTTTAAAAATTATCAGTCAAAAAGTTGTCGCTGCAGGCAGTTCTATAAAAAATTAAATTTACAAAAACAATTTTGGATTACATTTAAATTAACTTTGCCGCTGCATCATGTGACCATCATAAACATTCCCCAGTTTTGAACTGCAACAAGAATCTTAGCTTTTAAAGCTGAAGGAGCTTTGAAAACTAGTTTTCACTTTTGATTGCAAAAAGCCATCTGTTACGCTTCTTTTCCAGAACAATTGATTGTAAGAGCTGACTGGAATTTACTAAAGGGTCTGAAGTTGAACTTGCAAGCTGGAATAAATCGTTATAACAGTCCAAACTAATCGACGTTATGTAGAAAACAGATAAGTAGACTATTTGCTGAACATGGGCCACTACTATTGAAGCCCAACAAAGTTGATGGATAGATAACCAAGCCTTGTCAAAATACGGTACCTTATTTAGTGTCTTCTGATGAGTTAATTTACAATTCAAGAAACACCATTTCTTGAAAACCATGAAAAATTTATTGCTTAATGAAAAACGACACATTTAATGAACAACATCATCATATTTAAGTGATTCATCAACTTCAAACTTGGTTATTTTTTCAGACATTCCATTTCACTTCTATCCTCTAGAAAGTATACTGTTGATTATTCAGATTGTAACAGTTCACTTCACAAAGCGTCACAGTCATGCAAGTAACTTTTGTGGAAAACTGCATAGGCGAACAAATCAAAAAAAGCATGTCAAATTTTTATCCTTCTGATATTTTAAAATTTCTTTCCACACAATGAGCAAGTTAAAAAAAAGTACTAAAGGAAATGATGGGATACAAAACTAAATATAAAAATATAGTGTCTCATAAAAGCCTGGTGACAGTTGTACATTATTCTTCTTGGCTATCCTGTTGTAATGCCCCGCAGTCTATTTTTTCCTAACGCATGAATAAGGCGCATGATAGAACCACTAGAAATTTTTTTGCCAAATTTAGTGTATTTGTGGATCAGAAGGACCAAAAATGACAATCAACTTGAAATTAAAACGTAGATCCTGCAGCGTATAGTTCTGGTCGAACAGTTCAATCAAAAAAAATATACAGTGTCACTGAGTATTACTGATAAGGGTTTTAGAAATGTGTTGAATGATCGTCGGCGTTAATATGGTCGACAGTATCCGCCCCTAAGCATGCTTTTTTTTGCTGCTAATCTACCCTTATATTTGTGCCCGAAATTCTCGACCTTGCTTTTGTACTCTTGGTGTTGTTAGACTAGCTAAGTATGTCCTTCTAGCTCTTTAACAACCTAATTTGAAAGTACCGGTTTACCGTTTACGGCATTTCACTACGCAACAGAGACAGCGACGCTTGACGTTCAAGATAATGGTGACCGTCTTTAATCGCAATCTACAAATCTGAAGGTTTAAACCCAATTCCGCTTAAAATTCATACTCGAAATTTGCACATTTTGTTACTCTTCTCTACTTGCTGGAAAATACCTACTTAATTACGGTATTTCAGCTACTTACATAAGGCTTAGTGATCTGTGAGGTGCCAAAAAAGTTATTTGGAATAAGGCTTCCTGGAACACATGCCCTTAAATAAATGTGTCAAGAGGATCTCGAGAATTATTCTCTGTCAGGGGTTCTTTACCCATCGATGTTTTAAAAGGAATACGTTGTAAAAGAGATCGAACTATAAGCACAACTACGGTAGCAGAAGTGCAGAAGAGTAAAGACTAGCCCCAAAGAGGAGTGACCGCAAAGCAGTGCGTTTAAAAAACTCGATTATTATTCTTCGCATTACGAACCACTGAAAAAATGATGTTGTAAAATGCTCTAAAAGACAAACCGAAGCATTAACTCCGGGTCGTTAGACAGTCAGGAAACGCTGACCAGTCTAAAATCGTCACAGATGAATTAAGCCAGGTCGAAAACTTCCTCCGTAAAGCAAGTGGAGGTAGGTTGGCGACAAATAAAAAAAAATTTCTTTTGGGCAAGGTTAACTACAATACTACATCGTTTTCTAATGCGAAAGAGCGATTTGGTTTTGTTGAATATCCCGGGAGTTTGTAAAAAAAAAATGAAGTGTTAAGAAAAGCATACCCTTACAGATTAAGCATAGAAAAATTATACAGCCAAACAGTCCTGAGCTTTGAAGAAAAGTTCAGTAATGTGTATAACCAGCTTAAAAATGCGGTAATTTGTGAAAGGAGCATTGTTGCACTTTCCTTCATATTTCCTTTTTCCTTATTCTGCGTTATCCGTCAGATAGCATTCTTACTTCCCTTTTTCCACTGTGCCCGACTGCCTCTAAGTTTTTTCTTCAGATGAACTCTCACTACCACTATACATATTAATCCGTATTTCAGACAGATGTTGTCACGGGATCCTCTGATTCCTTTGGTACACATAATTTATTCCTTTCCAAATAGAGCTGAATTCAAGAAAATGAAGAAAAAGAAAAAACACGTACCGCATTTTTGAAAATAGAATGCTGTTATACTCTAATCTAATTCAAACAGGTGTACTGTAGTTTTGACTTTTGGAAAGAACACATTTTGGAGGAATGGGCCATCAGTTACGACTGCAGTGAGTTCCCCACCAAAATTTAGTGACAAAGTGAATCCTGCAATTAGGTTTCAAGGTTAAAAGTAACTTTTCTAGTACTTTTTATGAACGATTCTGTGAGATTGGTACAGTATCAACCTGTTTTTGTTCACTGTTTGCAGGAAAGGTTTTGGATCTTCGAGCATCGTTTTGGCTCTTAACTTTAAGGATTTGTCTTCAGACTCATGTTTGGGGCGGCTGAGGTTATTTTGACGTGCTTGTTGGTGAGGCTGACTGAGAATTTTCATTCATTTGCTGATTCTCACATCTTTCTTTAAGTTTTCCGGTTTGTTATTCTATATCTCGCTTAATTGCTGCTAGAATTTATGTGCTTGTTAAAGGTAATACATGGTCAACAACCATCACTTTTTAGTAATGGTCTTATCACTTTGGTGGAGAACGTAGGCATAAAGAGGAGATCAACTTTCTATTGTTTTTGGTGTAAACTCCTTGTTTTATGCTTTACAGGGGTTTCATCAAGCTGGTTTTTTTGTTCTTCCTTCTTGTTTTGTATGGATATCTTTGGCATGCTCGAGGATTTTAAAAAGTAGGATCTCGTATAAGCTCGTCGCCGCTTTTTTTTTTGTTTTTTGAGATTTATTACTAAGTCGTGAGGTAGTAAAGCTCTGTCAGTGTGTTTATTTGCTATCTTTCAATGCACCGCACATTATTTTCCAATTTTCGAAGCTTGATATAGACTTTCAGTGTTTCCGACGTCTCTTGTTTTACGGCTGCTGCTAGACGAAGCAGTTATATCTGTTTATTTACAGGTAAGTATGCCACCAAAAGCGGCGAAAGGTGGGAAATCGTCAAAGTCCGATCCTAAAGCGGCGGGCAAAATGCCCAAGAAGAAGGAAGGAGGAGGAGGTGGAAAAGCTAAAAAGAAGAAGTGGTCTAAGGGAAAAGTGCGTGATAAGTTGAATAACATGGTCCTGTTTGATCAAGCCACTTACGATAAATTGTACAAAGAGGTAATCAAACTAAAACATTTTCATAGTCACTTTTATTGATGACATGGTTTTTCTGCGTTTTGTAACTTATCTCTCTATGATATCACAGCAGTAGTTGTATATTGTGAATCTTTGAGCAGCAGAGGCTGTAAATATCATGTAGCTAAATGCTTACAAATCATACCTATTATGTGTACTCTTCCATTATTTTCCGGGTTTGAACTGAGTTATTATTCGTTCAGGTTATAACTTATAAATTGATAACCCCCTCAGTCGTTTCGGAAAGGCTTAAAGTTCGGGCGTCTTTAGCGAAACAGGGATTACGGGAGCTTCTTGCAAAAGGTACTGGTTTGTTTCAAGAGGTCACTTTGCAAGTCCTTTGTTTTATAGAGTACCCTTTTTGTTTAATTTTTTATCGAGCTCCATCATTAAATAGCATAAAATTAAGGTTTAATAAAGTGCGTTGTACATCATGGTGGTCAGCTTGTTTATACAAGGAGCACGAAGGGTGATGAATCTGCGATTGCTGAATAAATCAGTTTAGTGGCAACTGTCTTTATCTTGATAATTGATTGTTATGTGATTCTGTTACATGCCTATGAATAAACTTTAATGTTATATTCAATAGTTTTCCCAGTTTTTGAAAAGAATCAAGGATTGGCTGTGCAGAGGAAGGTGATGGCTGGTGATCGTTTTACATTTTCTGTTTTTGGCACTGTGAACACTCTACTGGTCAAATTTAATTTCAGATTTGGTCAAAGTTAGGGCAACTAAAGATGGAAACCAGCGGCGGGTAAAAATTAGTACTCATTTATATAAGTTGTTTACTTTTTTGTACATTCGACGCTGAACATTCATGGCGAAATAGTCTGCGGTTTTTGGTCGATATAGAGATAAAGAGATATCAACTGGACCGTAAATTGACTGAGCTGGACGGCGATTATAGCTATGAAGCAGTATTCAGAGGCTAATAAACTGGACCGGTGGCTGAGCTGCAGGCTCTGAAGGGGTTTAGGGTAAGAGTGGGGTCTTGCAGTTCAGCGAAAGGGATTTGAAAAATTCTGAAAAAAAAGCGATGTATTAGGAAGTGTATGTTCTTGACAGTAACAGTGCGCAAAAATGATCGGTTTTTTGGCGGACACTGAGGATCTAGTTTTTAAATCGTACAAATACCCTATTTTCGGAAGCAGAAGACGCATGTCCAACAGGAAACAAGTGCCATTAATTGTGACAGGAATATTAGCAAATAAGCCGTGTTCTGAAAACAAGTATGCAGCCGTATTTGTTGGGAAGTTATAAGAACTTTTGTAAAAAAATTTGTTTGGTACCGACAATTTAAGTTTTTTTGAAGCTAGACAGAGTTGGTTTCGTAAATGGGCTGACGGTAAATGGAATGATTAAACCAAAAACTTTTGACAGTTGAGATAGAAATACGTTGTTGGGCGATGCGCCAAGCTCAGTGTTTTATCAGCCCAATAGAAAACTTATACGATTTCGACGATTTGTGAATGATGTTACTTGCAAAGCATAATAAAAGGAGAAGGAAGAAGAGGTTTGAATAGATGGAAGCAGCACAGCGGATTGGCTGGTTCATACTGCTACAAGCGTTATTAGGAACTCCTTATTATTAGGCAGGAATATGACTGATGAAAGTTAATGCAAACAGAACTTCTAGTAAGCATGAAAATAATATATACTGAAGAAAGTAACCTGTGGAACTGCACAGCAATCAACTGGTGAATTAGAACAACAGATACGACGTATAAAAAGATTTGGTATGACGCAGTAGGTTAGATTAGTGTTCTTCTGACTCCGGTGAAGTGGACATGTAGTTGGTGACGAGTCATAAGCGAAATCAGTCATACTGAAAAAAACGATTGCTGGGGGAAGTTAACGCAGATATTAAGCAATTTTTTATTTTTCACTTTTACAGCAATGAGTACGCAGCGTAAGTTTTTTCTTCCAAGCCTGTTTATGGAGAAAGCTGTAATAAATTTTCTTTATGATTATAGAAAAAGTAATTTATTGCTGGTACAGATGTCATTGTTGTAAACATTTAGCAATTGCATATATAACTGCATATACTTTCACGGAAGCTTTATAGGCAGAAGTTAGCAGAAGTTTTACGTACGGCACGGCATAGTACAACTTTCGTGCTTTTCTTAAGATTTTACTAATTACAGTGGATTCAAACCACTAGATAAATGTAGCAATGTAATCTTATGGTCTCAAAAAATGTATTATTAGTGCTTAATACAATTTTCACGTCTATTAAATTATGATTTTTGCTCACATTTGAAATCTGTAGATTTGACCATCTATGAGACGTCGCTAATGGAACACCAATTCAATTTCTTTATGAAAAAAAATTTTACTTGTCTATTGTTAGAACAAAAGTAAAGTTAGAATGCAAGTAATCTCAGCGTTACTAAAAAATGCAGACTGTTCTATCAGAATCAACTTACGTTTGCAAAAAGCTTCTATCAGCAGTTGCTTCGACATCGTTGCTCAAGAACAATAGAGTGAAAACTGTACATAAGCTGCAGTATTTATACAGTATCATTGCTGCTTCATCTGGAAACCCATTTTTTAAAACAATTTGAAAAAATCTATTTTTTTAGTTTTATTGTATTTAAACTTCTGAAACTAATCTTCTGTTCTTCAAGTTTAAACTTGGCAACAGAATAATTTTTTGGAAATATTGAAAAAACAGTTTACTTCACTTGTAACCATCTTTTTCCAGCTAACAAATCTGATCCATCAACTTCAACAGACCTCGATGAATG